CTCTCCTCTCCTCTCCTCTCCTCTCCTCTCCTCTCCTCTCCTCTTTTTGGCCCTTTCCTAGACTCCTTCTAGGAGATCCCTGTCTTAATATTTATGTAACGTTAAGATAAATATTATATTAAGATGTTTATATATATTAATATTATATTAATAATTCAGCTTTAAATACAAATTTGATATAATACAAATCTCCTCTCATCTTTTCTGCCTTCCCCTTCCTGTTTCCCTTCCCTTCCCTCCTCTCTACTTCTTTACTCTTTTTAGTAATCTCTTTTCTCTTTTTCTGTTTATTTTCTTTCCACTTTACCTTCAGCCTTTCCTCTTCAGAGAAAGATTTTTAAATGTTAAGAGTGAACAGGAAAGTCAGAATGGTTCCGAAGTGGATGGAAAGTTTATATGATTACCATTCACTGTCACCTTTTCAGAGCCTTTCAACACGTCAAACTCTAGCAAATATGTTTTGGATATTAGAAGAATTTCTATTAGTGAAAATATATAGCAACATTTATGTGTCCCCAGAGTATGTTTCTGCATCATCCTGAGTATCCCTCTGTAGATAATGTATGTCAATAGCAGCCAGTGAAATCTAAGTCATTCTGAAGTTGATGTTTTTATTCAAGTGACCCTCACCCTGAAAATCTACTGGCTGTATTGATTAGATCTGTAATTAGTATAATAGGAGCCCAGAGCCTGGGGGCATTATTCTCAGGGGAAGACTTTCACACCTTAATTTAGCTGAGATGAACTGAGATGAATGTCATCTTCAGAATACCCTTTGTTATTAAAGAGTGTTTCTGTTAGCTCTTTGTAGTGTTTATGTGAATACAAGGCAATATCTTCTATGCTTCGTATTATATGTAGCACAGCACACAAAAGATTTTGTGTTTTCATTTCATTTCATTTCAATGTATTCATTTCAAAATATTTCATTTCAAAATATTATTTAAATAATATTTCACTGTGAATGATTTTAATAATTAGCATAAATAATATGTGCATGTTGGGTGGAGGGGTCTGATCTCTGTTCTTTTTTGACATTGTCTTGATTTGCAATAAAGCATAATTTAAACAGGATGCTTCTAAAGCTTTCAGCATCAACAGGAAAGTTACTGTCAGTTATGGGTTTGATAATATTAACGGACAATTTTTCCATCTCTTCCCTTTTCTTTGATACCAAGTAGCCAGATTTTCTCACAAAGCATATGTATGAGCAAAGAATTGCAAGCAGAATAAACACAGCCACTACAAAGGTTTGTTTCTACTTTTAACAGTGATGTTTATTACAGACAGCCAGAGCTGGCTTATAGGGCAGTGAATGCCAAAATACAATTTGCCTAACCTCAGAAATCTGTAGTACTTGAAGGCCTATAGTACTCTTTGAGTACTCATCCCAGGAGGCTTCTGTTAAAGCAATTACAGAAAAACATGCACTTAAAAAATAGTAATATAAAAAAAAAAACTCTTCATTTACATTAGCTGTTTATATTAGTTGATGTAAACTTTTTATTCCGTAGACATCTACACATGATATGGTAGTTCATCCTGTCAAATGAAGGGGCCTACTGGCTTCTTTGTGAAGACAAATGGAAAACAGACAAATATTTCTGAGATACATTCTCTTCAGTGAAATACATCAATGTCACACTTCAGCTTCTTTGTGTACATTAGAGGAAAATGTATTTTCAAAACTAAACTCACTTTCCTCACGGTATAGGAAAGACTGGTGTTGAACAGAACACAAAATCCACTCATTTATGTGCTACGTTACAGTATACTGTTTTCTTTATAAATCTGATTTGTCTCTACATTCATCTTGTCCACCTGTTGCAAAAATTATTTGAGACTAGAATCAGTGAAAATGTGTCTTTCTGAGACTGTGTCTACTTCACTCTCAACTGCGCATTTTGGGATCACCTTGAGCAGTCACCCTTCCATTAGAAACAACTTTACATGTGCAAATCTCTGGGAATCCCACAAATACTTATCAGTTATTCTTGCTTTTGCAGAGTCTGTGATCACCCCATGAAGTGGAATGGATTCTCAAGGCATTTCACATTCATTCCCTATGTCAGTGTCTGCTTTGCTGATCACGGTGTGTTGAAACTGCTATAACCAACAAACGCTAATTGTATGGAAGAAAAGCTAAGTTTAATGCCATGTATCAGTATAATTGTGAATAAGTTTTCCTGCTTTTTTTTTTTCTTAACCCCTAGTTGAAAACATGTTTTACCCAGCGTTTTGGATTTTAATTGTGCCACCTTTGTATCTGGAGAATGTTATTTTTTTGCCTCCAGATCTGATGTTCTGTGCGTTGCAACATACATAGCTGAGAATTTATTTTTATTGTTTGCGTTTTTAACATTCTCCTGACTTCTAGCTCTGCTCATTATAAACTATGAAAGTCAATGTGCTTTGTTTGACTCTTCTGTGATTATTTTTGTATATTTTAAATAGAATCCAGCTCAGATTCTCATTTCTGTGCACTGCTGCTTTATAATTTGCTCTGGCAAATATGAGCTAAATTATTTCAAAATTACATGAGTAAATTACAAACAATCAGCAAGATACTTATTGGATTCTATGACTGTATACTTATTTGATACCACTGTAAGCATAGAACATATTTATTTATTTATAAGAAACACTAGTGAAAGAGCAAGACAAACATTAAGACATACTGTGATCTCTTCTTTGAAAATGATCTGTAATGTGTTAAAAAAGTCAAGCAATGCATTTCATGAAAAATATAAAATTCTGTATTTGATTTGATCTCATAGGTTTCAACACATTCACCATTTGGGATTTTGTTCCATTTTCATGCACAATATATTCTGCTGAAAACATGATTGAAAATGCCATTTAAATTCATCTTTAAATGTGTCATGTATTATAAATGCAGTTCTCCTCCAGTAAATAAAGCATTTCAAAAGTGGTTTTAATTAAAATGTCATAGGAAGTATTGAAGAGATTTTCACAAAATGATATGGTTTTTTATTCTTCATGAAAAGTCACATCTTTTACCAAAGCAGTGTCTCACCATAAAATACAATACAGCAAAATACATTATAATAAAATAAGCTAGCTCTCAATGAAATGTGGGTTTGATTACTATGAAGGTTTAGAAAAGAATAACAAATAATAAGCTAGATTCTTACCTGCACAGATTTAAATTACATGCTTCCTTACCAAAAAGCTAAAATAGTAAAGGTTAAGCGTTGAAAATGCTCAGCAAAATCTTGCAGGTACTTAAGCTCATTCAGGGTCAGAAGTGCAAAGCTTAATTAGGTTTGGGAGGGAAACAGAAGTCAGAGTTTTGGGGTTGTTGTCCTTGCTGGGTTTTGTTTGCTTGTTTGTACTCTTTTCATCTATCCAGCAAAGTCAACATAACTGGATCATTATAATATTATTGTTCCAGTTGAAAGGGACCTGAAAGGTCATCTTGTCCAAACACTTGTTATTAAGAAAAGCATAGTAATAGGATGATAGTTTTTTGGGGTTTTTTTTCCAAGCAAGTTGAGTATTGTTCTGAAATTACAAATGTTACCTGCTGCTCTACCTTCGCACAGAGTGTTTGCTGTTGAAGTGGAGCTCCCTGTTTATTTCCAGCACAACCTGTGGGCTGCCTCTATCAGCAAAACTGGCAAATTCTCTAGTGATGAAAATGATTTTCATCTAGTCACTAAGAGCTGAAGTGAACCTAGCTCAAAGCTGATTGCAAGCAAATATTTTGGGAGCCTCAAGTTGCATTTGAACAAGAGATTCCAAATGAAAATCCCTGCCCATTCACTAATCCCATTCATTAGAGGCTCAGTGATTACCTCATTAGTATGATGCAGTGCAGAAACTGGTGGAGCTTACAACAAGCCAGCTAACACAGCTGATGCATTTGGCACAAATGACTCAGGTGAAGTATTTCTCTGCTGAAACTATAGATGCTTTCTGGCTTAGAAAAAGCATGAAGAATCCACATCGTAACATAGCATATTATAGACTTTATTTTAATAGCAGATGCTAGTTTAATATATATATTCCATTATGTTGCTATAAAACAGTATGTTCTTGAAGAGTGTATGTTTCTCTTCCCACATCACAAGCACATTTGCCTTCTCCTACCTCATAGCAAATATATCCAACAAAGCTGTTAAACAGCTGTTTATGCTGTTCATGTTGGTGCCCCTTTATATGAAAATACTGTGGGCACACTGGCACAGTTTTATTCTTTTTTTTTAAAAAGAACATACAAACAGACACCAAACTCAACACCTCCCAGAAGCAGGAGCTTCAGTTTGGACATATCCCCCTGACAAAGCTTGGGGAGGGGGTTAGTGTGAAAATGGGGAAAATCCTAACAAAGCTGTTTTTCATGGGCTCTGTAAGCTGGCAACAGAGGAATAAAACTTAAAAAAAATCTTAATGAAAGAAATTAAAAGCAGGCATAGCAGAAACAGAGCAAGCTAAACACCAAATTCAATTATTAAGTTGTCAAGTCCTCTTATTTAGAAGAGGAATAGGAAACAGTTTTTGTCTGTAATGCCTTATGGGCAAGTGTGAGCAAGATAAAAGAGTCCTGTATGGCATGTTGGTTACTGTCACCTAGATAAGCCATTCAGAAGCCAGTAAAATTTCTCAGATCTGAGGTCTTTAGAGAGGTGAGCTCTTCCCCAAAGACAGGTCTGTAGAGGTGTCACAGCTGAAACAGCTATACCTACCATTAATCATTCAACAAATTTTTGACCTTTTGGCAATGCATTTTTATAGGATGCATAAATCAATTGTCCTGGGAATATGATTGCTTAAGCTAACCAGAAGGAAGTCCTGAGGAGCTTTATATGTCTTAACCCACACAGTGCTGGACATAAAAACCATTCTACAAATTCACCTCAAGGTTCTGTATCACCTGGCATTCAGTTTCCAACAGTGGACATAAATATGCACCTAAAGAATGGAAAGTGTACCTATGATAATTTCTCCCTAATAGTCACTCAGTCTTTATTCTTAATTTCTCTGTGATGGGGATTTGATGAGTTGATGGTTAGACTAAATGATTTTAATGGTCTTTTCCAACCTTAATGATTCCATGATTCTTTGATTTCCTGATGGGTAATGTATCTTGTGTAGGAGAAAGGAATTTCACAGATCTGCTACTTACTATGAAAACTAAAACACAAACAAAACTCTCTCCTTTTTCAGTTTAAACTTGTGCTCCTACTGCTATCATGTAATGTGTTTTTCTCATAGTTCTTTACTATGAGAGTAGTGAGGTGCTGTAAAAGGCTGCCCAGAGAGGTTATGGATGCCCCAGCCCTGGAGGTGTTCAAGACCAGATTGGATAGGGCTCTGAGCAGTCTGGTCTAGTATTAAATGTGGATGTTGGTCTGGACAGCCTGGTCTAGTATTAAATGTGGAGGTTGGTGGCCCTGCATGTGGCAGAGGAGTTGGAGATTCACAGTCCTTGAGGTCCCTTCGAACCCAAGCCATTCTTTGATTCTATGATTCTATTTCTCCCTTCCATCAAAAAATGTGGTTACCAATCTGTCTTAATACACTCTTGCCATCCCATCCTGATTTTTCAGACCTCTGTTACATACTCTCTAGTACATGAACATGGTGTGAACAGGATCAGCCAGCTTGTCCTTTTCCTTTTTGAGTTGGATCACTTGCTTTGTCTCCCTGACTTATTCTTACAGTCAGTTATAGAGAGATCCTAAACAGTAGTTTTAAACTATATATCTGATTTTCAAACATTTACTAACTGGAAGGAGTTCAATCTGTTCTCTGTGTTGTTTTGTGGTAACAAAGCACCTCTTATCTCTTGAATATGGTATATTTTGATCCAAAGCCAATTGAAGTTATAGGAAATAAAAGATGGTCTATTTTGATCATCAGCTCTGATAATTTCTTTGGCAGTAATTTATCATTCCTCAGAGAAAGAGGAATGGAAATGGCAATGGTTGATACAGTTCTCCACTTCAGCACTTCATGCTTCTAAGAACATACGGAGAAAAATTGAAGAACAGTAGGGCAGGTCATCTCATCACTCCCTAACAACTTATTAATCTACAGTTTTGTAGGGTCCACAAGACACTGAAAATGGTTGCAATTCATCCATTTGGTATTAGTGTGTTAACCCAAGTAATTAGGTGCAGCCTCTTCCAAAGCAGCAGCCCAGAGCACATTAATGATCCCACACATGGCACCTGAACCATGTTTCTCAGGCTTTCATTTCACCACAGGCTACCATTCTGTGAAGCTGAGTGGAACCTAATTAAACTACAAAGAAATATGGCTATAATTGGTCTGGAGCAGCTTAGTAAAATGTAATAAGGGAGTTTAATTGGCTTCTTCTTTGTATTACTGATTCTAAATTTTGTAATTTGCTGTGGACAGTGGACTGGCTTTTCTTTACTCTGCCATGGAAAGAATATGAATAAAACATACAACGATGAGAGGTAATCTGCTTGACAATTACATGCAGAAATGGCAAACATTGATAGTTTCACAATAAAAGTCAGGTTTCCCTCAACGTTGTATGCTGCTGACAATGGAAATGTCTATTTTAAGAGTATCAAATGACATTTAGGAAATAAATTAAGACACTGCTGTTCTGTAACCTTAATTCCAGTGAATTATAGCTAATGCCAAATCCCTGCTTATCATAGCTAGCAATTGTAGGGACTTGCACAAAAGTAAATAAAGACTTACCAAAGTGAACATGTTAGGTTTTTTGGTTGATACAAGCAGAGCAAGGAAGCGCACTATGGTGACATTACAGGAAATGTGTAAGAAATTGAGTATTTAGAAGATTCACTGTACTGATTTCTCTACTAACTATGCTGGGATTTAGAAAGACCTCTTCACCTCACTGTAACACTTCTGTACCACCTTTCCCATGGTACAGCCCTTAAGTGGCAAAGAGGTTCTTTTTGGACAGACTATGAGACACAAATGACATTATTAAAGCTTTATTACTTCTATGTGATGTACAATATAGAGCTGATACATCTATCAGAGTCACACTTCCCCTTTCAGCTTGAGATCACCTGAAATTGGTTAACTGGCTATTCGAAACAGCAAACCAAAGCCTTGCAAATCACATCTCTAGCTTTTTGGCTAAATTAATAGGATTGCTAAAATCTACATTGGAAGGCCTTGAAGACCCTGGAGTGGAAATAGATTTTTCCTGCGAAAGTTTTTGTAAGATTAAAATAGCTCGATGGAGCTTAGTGGTGTGAGAGATTACTACCATCACCTTAATGCCATTCAGATGGTAGAATTCCTCTCACCTTTTCCTAAGTGTTAAAAACACTTTTTTTCCAAGCACCTCCAGTAAGAAAGCCTCTACCAGCTCCCTGAGGAAATTACTCCATGCCCCAATTGAAATCACTTTTGAAAATATTTTGCTTGAATTTTCAATTTTGTGATTACAGCTTCTGCCTGGTTGGTTTGCAACCTGAAGTCATCTCTCCCCCCCCCCCCCAGGAATAACACCAGTACAGTAGGCTATAGTGAGTATTCTCTGGGCTGGGTCTTTTTATTTCATGGGAAAATGTCACTGAGTTCATGGCAGGCAACGGTGGAGCCTCCTTTTTTCTCCCTTCTTTTTTCAGGGTCAGGCTGGATGGGGCCCTGGGAGGCCTGATCTAGTGCTTGATCTTGTAGTTGGCAATGGTCTCATGGCAGGGAGGTAGGAACTAGATGATCTTTGAAGTCCCTTCCAATTCAAGGCATTCTGTGATTTTATGATTTCTTCACAGAGCTTTTAGACGTGAATGAAAGACCTTATGGCAGATACCCAGAGAGTTAAATTTGATTGTGTATGAGAAAATGCTACCCTGTGAGGAAAAGATGTGTACTGAGCATAACAGAATAAAAAAGATTAAGTGAGAGAGGGATGGTGAGAGATTTCTTTGAAGAGAAAATGCTTGTGTGAGAGAGCAAAGGGAAATTTTGCCCAAAAGAAGACCTGAGGGAAACCTGTTGGGATGGTGCTAGCATAAATTCCTCTTATTATCTTTGGAGCAGCTGCTTGGGTGCTGTATCTGAGAGAATAGATGAGAGGTGTATTTGAGGGAGAGGCTTACAAACACAGTGTGG